GGGGCTGGAGGGGGCGGGGTCAGCGGGGGGCGTGTCCTGTCCCACCTGCGGCTGTCACCTGTGTCACTTCAGGCCCCAAATCTCCATTTTTTCACCCCTAAACCCCCAAATTTCCCCTTTCCAGCCTCGTGGTTTTGGGGCCAAATCTCTCGTTTTTGGAGAAGAAAACCCAATTTTTGTCAAACTGCTGCCTTCCACCCAAATCCTCATTTTTTGGGTCCCAGATCCTTTTTTTAGTTAAAAAAGGATCATTTTTAGTGTTAAAATATTTTTAATTATCGATCTAAACCTTCATTTTCAAGCTCTAATCCCTCATTTTATGCCCAAAACATAATTTTAAATAATTAACGCTCCATTTTGGAGCTAAATCCCCAATTCCTGCATCCAAAACATCTCTAAAGGTCCAAGTTTATTTTTTGCATTTAAAATAATTCTTTTTCTGGCTCAAATTCTCAATTTCTAAAGGCAAAACCTGTCTTTTCAGTGTTCAAACCCTCGTTTTGGCCTCCAAACCCACATTTCTTGGGCTAAAAACATTAATTTAAGGTCCTAAGCTTCCTTCCCTCTCATTTTGGGGTCCAAAATCCACTTTTTAGGAGCAAACCTCCAGTTTTAGGGTTAAAACCCTCTTTTGGGCATTAAAAAAATCCAATTTTTGGGCTCACAAACATCATTTTTTGTGCCAAAATTCTCGTTTCAGGGTCTACGCTCTCACTATTGTGTCCAAATTCTCAAGTTTAGTGTCCAATCCCACTCTTAAAGTTAACACAACACACTTTTAGATCCTATTTTAAGGATAAATACCTCAGTTTTTGTCCAAAAGCTTATTTTTGAAGTGCAAATCTTCATTTAAATGTCAATTTAAATGTAGGAAACCTCCTTTTTAGAGGTCCCATTTATGGGACCAAATACCACATTTTTGAGGCCGGCCCCATTTTTGGGCGGACAAAATGATTAATTTTAAAGCCAAACTTCCTGATTTTGGGGAAAAAAAACCATCTCATTTTTGGATGTCTAAATCCCATGTATAGGCCAAAAATTTTGTACTTAGGAGCACGTCGCTCAATTTTAGGTCTGAAATCTTCAACTTTGGGTCCAAATTCTGCTTTTTTGGAGCCCTTGAGAGTCTCCAACCCTATTTTTTGGGGTCGTTTTAATCCTTTTTTGGGTCCAAATTCCCCTTTCCAAGGCCTCCACCTCCCCCCACCTCAGCTCCCGCTGTTGCCATGGCAACGGGCCCGGCGCGCCCTGCCGTGACGTCACGGCGGCGCCGGCCAATCAGAGCGCGGCTCGGCCGTTGTTGCTGAGGGAGGGCCACGTGGGGGGGCGGGGTCACGTGACCCCCGAGGGGGTCCTCGTGCAAGGGGGTCACGTGACCCCCCGTGCAAATCCCGAATTTCCTCGTTTGAACCCCAAATTTCCCCACAAAAAACCCCAAATTTCCCCGTTTGAATTCCAAATTTCCTCATGCAACCCCCAAATTTCCCCGTTTACATCCCAAATTTCCCCACACAAATCCCGAATGTCCTAATCTAACCCCCAAATTTCCCCACACAAATCCCCGATTTCCCTGTCCGTACCCCAAATTTCCCAATCCAAACCCCAAATTTCCTCATCCAAATCCCAAATTTCCCCATTTTGACCCCAAATTTCCCAATCCAAACCCCAAATTTCCTCGTCCAAATCCCAAATCTCCTAATTTTAAACCCCAAATTTCCCCGTGCAAGGGCCGGGCACGAGGGTGGGGGAGGGGTCGGCAGATTCCCCCTCCCCTCCCCCACGGAGCCCCTCCCCCACGGCGCCCCT